ATTTATTTATTATTATTATTATTTATTATGAACACACTATGGTAATATTAAGGGGGAAAGTTTCAAAGGCACAGATGGCAGATAGGTCCTTAACTATGGAGATGGGTTCCTAGCCACCACAGTGGCTTTGAAACTTGCTGACAGTGAACTCTCTTAAACAGGGCAGTCAAAGGTATTATAGGTACTTAGCTAAATTTTTCCCTCATTTACACCCAGATTCTCATGCCTCAGGATTGTTTTGCAGGATCAGGGCCATCCTTAGGAACTAGAGAGTGAATTACATATGGAATAGAAGACTAAGAGCTTATCTACACTACTGCTTAACTCGCTGTAACTTATGTAGCTCAGGGGTGTGAACCCCCTACCCAAACGACGTAAGTTACATTGACATAAAGTGATGTCTACATTGCGCTATGTCGGTGGAAGACGCTCTCCCGCCAACATCGCTTCCGCCTCTCACTGAGGTGGAGTAATTACATCGATGGGAGAGCGCTCTCCCATCGACGTAGCGTGTCTTCCCCAAATGCGCTACATCAGTGCCGCTGCAGCACGATAGTGAAGACAAGCCCTAAGTGTTATCTCTGAACTGCCCTGATCTCTGAACCTCACAAGAATAAAAAAAAAAAAATTTGTAAATTTAATTTCCCACCCAAGGAGCTCTCCCAGCAGTGATCTGCCACTGCCATACACCCAGCCCACCATATTGTAGCTAAGGCACAGGACTGGAGATCTGGGTTAAATGTTTGGCTTTGCCACAGACTTCCTGTGTAATGCTGGGTAAGTCACAATTGTTCTGTGCTTCAGTCCCTGTTCTCTAAAATGGGGATGATAATATTTTTCTGTTAGCCTTTGTCTGTCTTGTAGGCCCTTTGCACGCAGAACTCACATTAACATCATTCTTGAAATAATCATCTGGGGCCAGACTCTGCCACCCTTGATTTTAATGGGGATGACTTACACTGCAAGGGTGACAGAACTGGGCTGTTAATAATGAAGTAGCTCTCCATCTTCCTCCTCTTCCCAATTACTGGCCTTCGGCTGCTGCTGCTAAAATGACAGCAGCTGTGGCTTTTTCTTTATACTTAGTGGAAACCTGCCAGAAAATCTGGCCAATTCCAATTATTTTTTACTGTAAGCACCAGCCCCCAAATGAAGGGCCTAGTTCTGAAGCGGCTCTGAACATGAAATTCTTGGGGACTTAATCTGCCTCAGATATTTCACTGGTGCCTATAGGCATCAGCCAGTCATGAAGAAAGCGTAAACTTAGGAGGCTAACAGATGAAGTGCTTTAGAACCAGGTTCAAAATCCCCCTGGCTTTCCCCAGGGTACTCACCATGATTGTCTGCAGAACCACCCTCATAGATAGCAGACACTACTATTTTTCCAATTGGGGAATCAATGCCTCCCTCTACTGCAAGATCTAATGGTCCTTCCTATTAAAGAAAACGTTTTAGTTCAGAAT